TCTCATCGAGATATAATGAAAAGAAAGAACAAGATACTAATAAAGATTTTAATATTTTTTCTAAAGAAGAAACAATATCACATACATGCGATTTTATTGTTTTGTCACTTAAAGGAATGCTAGCAGCTTCTTTAAGAGTTAACGAATTTCCAAACGACCCTACTGCTGCGATGAGACATTCCTTTACAAATTTTCCTTCAGAAAATGATTTTGAATTTTTCGCAATAAGGTTTAAAATTGCATACGATGCTGTAAGAGCTGTTAACGAGGATGAAGGATTATCCGAAGATGCATTAGCACCAGAATTCGGACTACAATCTTCTTGATAAATTAATTTTAAAACTTAGATTAAATAAATGTTTCTAAAATATAAATATTATATTGCTAATGTCTAATTCATACTTTGTTAATTTATATTTCTACAATGTTTCTGTAATGTTGCCTTACAATTTGTAATATTGCAACATTGTTGCAAAGTAGTTGTAATATTTTGTGCATAGATATTATAATATTATAATATTATAATATTATGTGCTGATTTTTTTTATGAATAGGCATAAAATTAAAAAAAATTAAATCTTATAATAAAGTTATAAGTAAAAATCAATTTGTAAAAATATACACACACGAAGATATTAAAATTATACTTTTGCTTAATTTAGATATTTCGAGCACTCCTGGAATAATAGCGAATAAATATTACTTATTATTAATGTTAAGTTTCATGATTATAGTTCCTATAATTTGCGTTTTCTACATTTATCGTTGTAAGTATATTTGATGTAGATGTGACGACTTGAATTGTAGATTATACATATATATATCTGATATAATATCTAGAGATTTACTGAAAATAGTAATTTACTTATCTAAAATTAAACGAATAAATTTATTAAAAAACAGTAAATTTTATAATACATATTATTACATAATTAAATCGAAATTTTATAATAGTGTATCGTCAACACAGAGGTAATAATGAACAATTTTTGTCTTCAACAATGACCGATGTAGAATTGGCGAATCTACATGAAGTACCTTGGCGAAACACTCTGGATAAATGTGCGATAACTAAAATCGCACGAAATCAAATTACACTTACAAAACGTCTTGGTAGGGGCGCATTCGGAAAGGTAAAAATTAATTTTTTCAAGCAACGTTTCAAATTAATTTCTGATTCAACAAACAGATATGTATTTTCTAATAAAGATGTAAAAAACCTGAATTTTTATAATAGATTATAAGTAATATAAAATTTAGATGAGACAACAAACATGCACTTTATTATATAGTTTGCTAAATTATTTAATATAAAGTAAAATATAACCTAAAAAATTACCCTTTTAAAAAAAAGGTAAAAAAAGGTGCTAAGTCCGCGTAAAAAACAGTATGTGTATTTGCAAAATAGTGTATTATTAACTGCAAAAAACTACTGTATTGTATATCCTACAAAAATAATGATATTAAAAAAGTTGCGCTAAGTGAAAATAAAAGCTTATAAAAATACTTTAACCAAAAAAAGTTATACAAAATAGCTGATTTAATTTTCTACATTATATCCTAGAAAAATAATGATATCCAAAAATTACGCTAATTGAAAATAAAAACTTAAAATAATTTAACTAAAAAAAATTGTACAAAATAATTGTTTTAATTTCATACAAATAATATTAAAAAGTTGCGCCAACTGAATAAAAATTTTTACTATAAAATAGACATATTTCTTTTTTATTTTCAATATTAAAAGAAAAATGATATTAAATGAATTGTAATATATCTATTATAAAAAATCGAATTGAAAATATGAACAATCATATACATTGCAATAATCATATGCATATACATCCTGAAAAGTTTAATTAAGAAAAAAAAAAAAAATGATAATACAAAATACAAAATTAAAAATTATTAAAAAAATTAAAAATTAAAAATTAATAAATAAAAAATAAAAATTTATATAAAAATTAAAAATTAATACATATAAAAAAATTTTAGTTAAAAAACTTAGCGCTGCTAATTTCATTAGCACATTGTTCAGCGTAGCAACGCTAAGTATTTTAACTAAAATTTTTTTATATGTATTAATTTTTAATTTTTATATAAATTTTTATTTTTTATTTATTAATTTTTAATTTTTAATTTTTTTAATAATTTTTAATTTTGTATTTTGTATTATCATTTTCTTTTTTTTTTTTTAATTAAACTTTTCAGGATGTATATGCATATGATTATTGCAATGTATATGATTGTTCATATTTTCAATTCGATTTTTTATAATAGATATATTACAATTCATTTAATATCATTTTTCTTTTAATATTGAAAATAAAAAAGAAATATGTCTATTTTATAGTAAAAATTTTTATTCAGTTGGCGCAACTTTTTAATATTATTTGTATGAAATTAAAACAATTACTTTGTACAATTTTTTTTAGTTAAATTATTTTAAGTTTTTATTTTCAATTAGCGTAATTTTTGGATATCATTATTTTTCTAGGATATAATGTAGAAAATTAAATCAGCTATTTTGTATAACTTTTTTTGGTTAAAGTATTTTTATAAGCTTTTATTTTCACTTAGCGCAACTTTTTTAATATCATTATTTTTGTAGGATATACAATACAGTAGGTTTTTACAGTTAATAATACACTATTTTGCAAATACATATACTGTTTTTTACGCGGACTTAGCACCTTTTTTTACCTTTTTTTTAAAAGGGTAATTTTTTAGGGATATCACTCTTTTTTGTACTATATGTTAAACATCTCTAAATAAATGAGCAAAGAACCCGCCATCACCCCCGTCATATTTCATTAAAATTAGACAGTCTTCTTTGCTTACTATATAGATATTCAGATCCTTCAAACTTCTTTGCTACTCTTATTGCAAAAATAACGGATAACTACAAATCAATATGTCATTAGAAACCGTACACTCTTTTCATTCAAAAACTAAGCATTTTAGAGAAAAACGTTTTAGACAAAAATTGTATGATTTTAAAGGGAACATAAGATGGTGTCATTGATTTGACCTCGGATGGCATCGTTAAGGTCAGGTCAAGGACATCTTTAATTTCTTAAATGGAATCACCTATTTTTTATTGCATATTTTTATAGCTTATGTCGAGAGCTTTTCAAAACACTATAATAAAGTATTTTTTCATTGAGTACTTTTCGATTTATAAAACTTAAAATAAAATCTTAATTTTACATAAACTATAAAATATCTAGTAAAATATTTATTTCTCGATTATCTTACCTTAATACTTTTATGTACAAAATAATGAAAGGAATCAATTAGTGTAAAAAAAAACACACAGTTGTTTTTAAGAAAAAATATGTAATTGTTAATTGCAAATTACATATTTTTTCTTCGGAACAATTATATGTTTTTTTTTTAGACCAATTGATTCCATTTATTATTTTGTACATAAAAGTATTAAGGTAAGATAATCGAGAAATAAATATTTTACTAGATATTTTATAGTTCATGTAAAATTAAGATTTTATTTTAAGTTTTATAAATCGAAAAGTACTCAATGAAAAAATACTTTATTATAGTGTTTTGGAAAGCTCTCGACATAAGCTATAAAAATATGCAATAAAAAATAGGTGATTCCATTTAAGAAATTAAAGATGTCCTTGACCTGACCTTAACGATGCCACCCGAGGTCAAACCAATGACACCATCTTATTTTACCCTCAAAACCATACAATTTTTGTCTAAAACGTTTTTCTCTAAAGTGCTTAGTTTTTGAAAGAAAAGGGGTGTACGGGTGGTCTAGGACACCCTGTATACAAGGTGTCCCATTTTAATCGATGGATCCAAATTTCTCCTAAACTATGCCAGCTACAAAAAAATGTTTCAGACAAAAGTTGTATGGCTTGAAGGGGGACATAAGGTGGTGTCATTGGTTTGACATTGAAGAGTCACCTAAAGGTTACGTGAAGATCATATCCAATTTTTTAAATAGGACACCCTATATGCTTTTACATATTCTTATAATTCATCTCGAGAGCTTTCCAAAACACTAATTAAGTTAGTTTTCATTAAGTAGTTTTCGAGTTATGAGGCTTGAAATCATTTCTTAATTTTACATAAATCGTAAAATATCTAGTAAAATATTCATTTTTTGTTTAACTTATCTTAATACTTTTGTGTACAAAATAATAAGAGGAATCAATTGGGGTGTAAAAAAAACATATAACTGTTCCGAGGAAAAAAATATATAATTAATTTGCAATTAACAATTCCATATTTTTTCTTAAACAACTGTATGTTTTCTTTACACCATTTGATTCTGCTTATTATTTTGTACGTAAAAGTATTAAGATAAAAGTATTGAGTATAAAAGTATTAAGATAAGATAATCGAAAAATGAATATTTTACTAGATATTTTACGACTTATGTAAAATTAAGAAATGATTTCAAGTCTCATAACTTAAAAACTACTTAATGAAAATTAACTTAATTATAGTATTTCGGAAAGCTCTCGAGATGAACTAAAAAAATATGCAAAAGCATATAGGAAGTCCCATTTAAAAAGTTGGATGTGATCTTCACGTAACCTTCAGGTGACTTTTCAATGCCAAACCAATGACCACCTTTTGTTCCCCTTCAAGCCATACAACTTTTGTCTGAAACATTTTTTTGTAGCTGATGTAGGTTAGGAGAAATTTGGATCCATCGATTAAAATGAGACACTCTGTATATAATAGTCTTAACATCACGGAGCGCCGCTAGCGCAATCTTACGTCGAATGCGGCAAACGTACAACTTTTTACGCTTGCGCATTGGGGACTTGGGCGACGATGACCAAGGAGACGTTTCTTAATGAAAATTTTTCATATTTCGACTTTGGATCATAATATTGTTGTTCACGATGCACGTAGAGCAAAAATAAAGACACTTTTCTTATATAAATCAACCTCAAGCTATCCATTAAGCCTAATAAGAACTCGATCCGTTCAGCGATTATTTCAATATGATAATCTCGAACATCTCCAACTATCCAACTCGCGTAATGATACACGGCGCGTCTTGTTGCTTACGCGGGACTTAGCACAAGACACTACCGTGTCTCTTGATATAGGTATTGGATTTTCATGTGTAGTCGACACATTGATTAAATCCGTGTAAGGACCAGCAACAATTTTAGTATGCGCACGTACTCGAAAATAATATGTCGTGTTAGATGTTAGATTGTGCACCCTCTGTTCCAATTTTGAAGTTGTGATATTTTTATCGTCGCATATTTGAATCTCTTTTAAGTCCTCGATGAGAAAACATTGCACTGTATACCCTTGTATTATTTCATCGATAAATTCAGGTTGGTTCCATCTGTAAAAACATAAAATTTTAATTATTTTATATTTAACCAAATTATAACAGAATTAAAATTTTGATATATTTATGTCCTTGAATTTAAGAAAAAGAGAGAAAAATGAAAGAATACAAACTGAGAATTTAGATTTCTTACCTCAATATCACAAAAATGTCGTTTACTTTTTCTGTAAATTGACTGTCGAATTGTACAAATGCTCTGAGAGATGTTGGCTTGCTCAAACTGCTTTCTAAAGATTTTAAGATCATACACATTAACAGTTCTATATAAAATTAAGTGGATTATCTCAGTAAATCAGAAAGAACAATTTAATGTGAAAATAAAGGAAAGAGAAAAAATAAATGTACACTACAAAATATGGAAATTAGCACAGTATTGATCTTTAAAAAGATAATATAATAATTTTTTGCGTCATTTAAGATTTAGAAAAGTAATCGTTAATTCATTGCAAAAACGAATAAATAACTTTTATTAAAATGACAAGTACTTTTCGAAAAATTCCTATAGCTTAAGAAATCAGAAGTATAATATTTGCGACTGCTTTAAAACAGAGTAACATATTAATAAAATTGATTTTACCTTAAATTATAACAATTTTTATGTACAATGTTATGTTTATATTATACTTTTCTGTTTCTTTTTAGAATTAGAATTTATATTCTTTTCAATACTGGAAGATATTTTTAGATTTGATTGCCACTCTCTCTTGAATTTAAATTATATTTACACTTTTTTATCATAGATTTTGTTATTAATGTTTTATTTTTTTGCAACTTACCGATAGATTTTGGGGTGATAGAAATATCTGCAAATGTAACTTCATCAACTTCGCGCTTATTTCTCACAGTACTATCAGAACTTCGGTCAGATTTGAAATTTAATATATGATGATCACTTTCTTCGGACATTGAAATATTCTTCATAAAGTATAACACGAAAAGAATTAAGTGAATATCGTTGAAGCGGTTGTTTCTGGTGCTTTTAATGATAAATTATATAAATTATAAAATTAAACGAAAAATTGCCATTCGTTTTTTGTTTGCTTAATAATACCGGTTTGATACACCATTCCTAAATGAAATAAATTGAATGTGATGTATTCAATATCATATAATTTATATTTATTTATTTTTAAGACATCTTGTATATCAAACATAACTCATGTCAATCAACGAAGTTAGATAGGTTAACGAGAATCAATGAGGCTTCATAACAGCTTTTAGCAAGTAGTACAAGCGAAAGTGTAGCTGTTTGCAATTATTAAAACAATTTTGTTTAACAATTTGATTCTTTCTCACGATAGATTAGTTAACTCTTCTCAATTTTACCGTAATTCAAATTTTTTTTCAAAAGTTTGCCGATATTACTGAAGTTTTATTAATGTTTGTACTTCAAGAATAAGAAAGTTAAACATATTGTTTCTTTACAGTTATTAAGTATCAGTCTTAGAAATTATATAAATTCTTTATTTTTAATCTTGTCAAGTATTTTCTCTATTGTCGTTATATTTTTAACACAAACAAATCCTGGAAATGATAGAATAAATCGATAGTATAAACCGATAATGCCTCTATAAAAATATGTGGACATAATTGTATATAGATGAATATATGCACAATGAAAATTAATATAAATTCTAGTGATTGTTATTGAATATATTGTCGATCGAAATATTAGCATTAATAGATACAACTTGAAGAAAGTTTGAGAAATGATTTTTTTTATTAGACAGATTTTCTTTCTCGATATTTAATAGCTCTGTACCGTTATACAGGGTGTCTCATTTTAAAAGTTCCACCCTCATAATTTTTTTAATTTTGATTGTAGAAAAAATGTTTCACACAAAAGTTGTATGGTTTTAAGGGGCACATAAGACGGTGCTTAGTTTGACATTGAAGAGTCACCTGAATGTCACGGGAAGGTCACCTCCAACTTTTTAAATGGGACACTCTATGTGCTTTTATATATTCTTGTAACTTATCTCGAGAGTTTTCCAAAACACTATAATTAAGTTAGTTTTCATTAAGTACTTTCCAAGTTATGAGGCTTGAATTCATTTTTTAATTTTACATAAACCGTAAAATTTCTTGTAAAATATTCATTTTTCGATTATTTTACCTTAATACTTTTATGTACAAAATAATGAGAGGAATCAATTGGTGTAAAGAAAAGACATAGTTATTTTTAAGAAAAAATATGTAATTGTTAATTGCAAATTACATATTTTTTTTCGAAACAACTATGAGTTTTCTTTACACCAATTGATTCTTCTCATTATTTTGTACATAAAAGTATTAAGATAAAATAATCGAAAAATGAATATTTTACAAGATATTTTACGGTTTATGTAAAATTAAAAAATGAATTCAAGCCTCATAACTTGGAAAGTTCTTAATGAAAACTAACTTAATTATAGTGTTTTGGAAAGCTCTTGAGATGAGCTACAAGAATATGCAAAAGCATATAGGGTATCCCATTTAAAAAGTTAGAGCTGATCTTCGCGTGTCCTTCAGGTGGCTCTTCAAGATCAAATTAATGACACCATCTTATGTCCCCCTTGAAACCATACAACTTTTGTCTAAAACTTTTTTCAAAATAATCGACTCCAATCGAGATATTATCTTGTCTCAAGATAAATGCCCCACCCTGTATATATATATATATATATATATATATATATATATATATGTATATATATATATATGTATATAGAAAGAGAGAGAAGGAGAGAAAGAGAGATAGACAAAATAATACAGTCGAATTTTAAAACACCGTTTTAATTAAATTTAATATACTATATAACATCCATTTGTAAAAAATTTCGAAACATTATCCATCTTTTTTTACAACATATATACTTTTTTCTTCCATATTGAATTGTTTTATTTTATCTTATCTTATTATAAGTAGAATATATAATTTATTATCATTCATTTTTAGTTAAACTACTAACTGCAATAATATTCAATTGTTTTAATCAAGCGAAAAATATCTCTTACCTGCGTGAAATTTAAATCCGGACACACAGAAACACTTTCTTCCTGGAAGATGTTCGAAGTGATATAATCCTTCGGCGTGTTAGTTGCTTTTGTCAGTATTAAATCTATCAATAAAGCACATAATATTGTTCTAAACATAACTTGCATTTTTCGTAAACGTTTGCACTCAATCGATTTCCGTTGAATCCTGAATTAATTGTTTTTCTCACTCTACTAATTCTGATGTATTAATCAAATTGATATTAATTCATATATATACATATATTTTCGATAAATTCTTTAAAACTCAGTTTTAATCAAACGATATGTAACGCGATAATGCGTTTCGGCTAGCAGTTACAATAGTAACTGACGTAGTTGACAATGATGTAGTTGACAATGATGTAGTTAACAATCACAATAGTAACTGACTTAGAACGATCAATTTCATCACGTGGTGCCACGACGTTTTATTAGCTGCTTCCGTTGTAATTTATTTTTCTCCACAGAGATATTCGCGTTATTTTAAGAAGAATTAAAATCTTTAAAAATTGTTTGACAAAAAAGTTATATATAAAACAAAAATAGTTCTATGTATAAATAAAAATTATTATATGTATATATAATTGTTTAATAAATTTTATTATAAACATTTTATATTAATTTATTTCTAAGTATCTTCCCTTTAGAATATAGATATATATAATAGCATAAGAAGCATTTGTTTAATATAAAGAAATATTCTGATTATAAGAAAAGTAATAATGGATTTAAAAAAACAATGATTTATACGTTTTCTATATTCACATAATGCAGTTTGAATCAAACGATACGTAACGCCGTACCGTTTTTGTATTTGTACAAATAAATAAAAATTTACAGTAGCACATACATAACTAAAATAAATAATATAATTGAATAATATAATTGAATAAACTTAAAATATAATATATAACTTGTATAATATAACTTTAGTTAATATTAACTTAATATAATATACTTAATATATATATAATATAATATAATAAAAAAATTTATAATATTAATTACTTTATTATTTAATTCTACTATTGTAATTTTATATACGACAGTGTTTATTATGCATCAGTGTGCATTAGTGCATCCAATTAAATTCCTCATTTTTCCCGCTATAAATCAATTACTTTATTTCTAAAAAATGTGATAAACGCTTTAATTACGTGAAATATAATTGAATATAATTCTATGTTGCTTCTGTCTCCTTTCGTGACATATTTAGTCCATTCATATATTAAATGATGTACATTGTTATTTTCAAAAATGTTTCTATATTGTTAAAGAGACATTCTGCATAAGAATATTTTTAATAATATAAACATTAATATAAAGATCTCTTTATAAATTCATGCATAATAATAGATGTATTTTTAAACATTTTACAAATTTATAAAAACTTTATACCCAACAAAAATACATGTATGTGCAGGAATTTGTTCAAAATGATAGACCGTACTTGTGTGTGAATACATTACATTATTAGTATTTACATTATTAGATTTATTAAACATTTATTGAAGATAAAACAATAAATGTCGTTCATTTTTACAACTACATACATTTGTAATCATCAATATAATTTAAATATATTGTTGCGCCCGCGGCGAGGACTTCGATATTAATCGAAGTCGCGCGCGAAGAGGACGGCCGCTCGCGAGTCGTGCGGAATAAACGAACACTCTTTTAATAGCGAACAAGGAACTTTAATACTGAACACAACACAACACAGAACAACGTATTCGTACAATCACAATAAGTCGCGGCGCGATACAGAAAACGCGTCCGCTCAGCTAGACAGCTGGCTCGGAACTCTGCTGACGGTCGCCGTTTATAAATATTCTTCTTGACGACGAGACAGAAAACGATCTTCCTCCGAACATCACGGGTGACCAATTATTAACCCGCAGGGAAGGAACACGGGGACGTAACACTACCCCCCTCCTCCCCTTCAAGGTTGTCGTCCCGACAATTAGAAACAGGAGGGGTATCCAACGCTGTCCTAAAACTGTGCCTTGATGTCGACTCTAGGACTCCGCCATTTTGGATCCAAATGTACATCCGCACACGTCGACTCCAGGGTACCGACGAGTCTCCTTGCTCTCCCTAGACTGCTGTCACAGGTTACCGAGCGACTTCGTCATTCTGGTCCCAATCGACTAACAGCCAAATGTCGAGGGGGCTCCAGGGCTCCGACGAATCATCCTGCCCGGGCTGTTGTCTCAGGTTACCGAGTGATCCGCCGTTTCGAACCCAATCGACCTTCGATGTTCGTTCTGCTACATCCCGGTTTCGGATAAGGGGGGGGGGGTAACTTCCGTGGACCCTTCGTTCCTTAAGAACTCCCCAAATCCCCGCCTCGGCATTTGCCCCAAGACCACACGGGAAAACCACGGATCAAAAACCGTGGGTAAGGCGGTCTTCAAAAAAAAAACGAAGAATCAGATGACGACGATAAGAAATCTCTTCTCTCTCCTAAGCAGAACCTTCTTCAAATCAAAGGTCCTGAAAAAGAAAACAAAGATTACGCAGCAACTACCTTTTATTTCTATTTTATTTTTATTTCTATTTCTATTTCTATTTTCTAGAAACCCCCCCCGCCTCCTTCAAATTTCCTAACTGATAGACATTTCCGGGCTCCAATCTACTTTAACTATTCTAGTCTCTTTCTAGAAAAAGAACTATCCTATCCGCATGTACAACTTTTTTCCTATGTCTAGGAATCTTTTGGATGCAGTAAACTACGTCGTTAAGTTTTTTAATAATTAAATAAGGACTTTCCCAATTGCTTTGCAATTTCTGAGCGCTCCTCTTACTTCTCTTAGGATTATATAACCAGACTCTCTCTCCCTCCTGAAAGAGAACAGTTCTAACCTTCTGATCATATCTTGCTTTCATTCGCGAAGACTTCAAGACCATGCGTTCCCTAACATAAGAATGAATTTCCTCTAATTTTTCTTTCAAACTTTCCACAAAATTTTCTGGAGGCAACCTTTCTTCATCAAATTTAGGAGTTCCTCGAAACAAGTCCACCGGCAGCCTAAGCTCTCGAGCAAAGTATAATTCGACAGGAGTCACTCCAGTGGTCTCATGCTTCGATGATCTATACGCTAAGAGGAGCATAGGAATCCATTCATCCCAATCTTTCTGATTCTCGGAAATGTATTTCGCCAAGTAATTGAAAATCGTCTGGTGTTGACGTTCCACCTGGCCGTCCGATTGAGGATGAAGAGCAGTGGTCCTTGTCTTTTTAATTCCAAGAAGTCCCATCAATTCTCCAAATAACTGTGACTCGAAATTCCTCCCCTGATCTGTGTGAACTTCAAGAGGCACTCCATGTCTTGAGACAAACTGATTCACAAAAACTTCAGCCACTGTCTTAGCTCTAATATTTTTGACAGGGAAGGCTTCTACCCATTTTGTAAAACAATCTACCATCACAAGAAGATACTTATTCCCTGATTTAGTTAAAGGAAGAGGCCCAAGGATATCCATTTGTACCCTCTCCAAAGGAGCTTCAACGTTGTAAATTTGTAACGGGGATTTCCCCTTTTCAAATGGACCTTTTCTGGACACGCAGATCTTGCATGTTCTGCATCATTTCTCAACGTCCTGTTTACATTTGGCCCAATAGAATCTCTTTCGGATTTTCTCTAAGGTCTTGTTGACTCCAAAATGTCCTCCGGATGGGGAATCATGCATTTCCTGTAAAACTTCCTTGATCCGATCTCGTGGAACTACCAATTGAAGGAAACTTGTTCGAAGGTTTGGGGCTTCCCATTTCTTATAGAGAATTCCACTTTTTAGAATGAGAGAATCCCAGTAAAACCGATAAATTTGAGTTGAAATATCTTTAGCAGGAACTTCCGAGTGCAACGGTCTTCTTCCTGTTTCTTTACCTTGCAAAATGAAAGATATGCTTGGATCTGTTCGCTGTGCCTGACGCCATTCTTCAAGATTTTCTTTGGCAAGCGCAATACGAGCGACCATTTCCTCTATTCCCTCTGTACTCTTCTTTTCAATTTTGGTGCAGTATCCGCATCCTAAAGTCTCACATAATCGCCTTGAAAGTCCGTCGGCATTTCCGTGAGATTGTCCCTTTCGGTAAACAACTTCGAACTCAAACTCTTGAAGTCTTTCGAGCCATCGAGCCAATTATCCTTCTAAATTTTTAAAAGACATGAGCCATTTTAACGATATATGATCCGTACGAATTATAAATTTTCTTCCTAAAAGATAGTGACGAAAAAATTTTAAAGAATCCATAATCGCTAACAATTCTTTTCTAGTCACACAATAATTTCGTTCAGTCTTGCTAAGTACTTTACTAAAATACCCAATCACTTTCTCTTCTCCCTTTTGTCTTTGGGATAACACTGCACCGATTCCGATGTTGGACGCGTCAGTATCTAGAATGAACTCATCTTCCCCTTTTGGAAAAGCTAATATCGGAGAAGATGATAACATCGTTTTTAATAATTCAAAAGCATCCTGGCATTCCTTTCCCCAAACGAATTTAACTTGATTTTCTGTTAATACGTAAAGGGGCTTCGCCAAAGAAGAGAACCCCTTCACGAATTTACGATAGTAAGAACAAAAACCGAGAAAACTTCGTAACTGTTTTTTTGTGTGAGGGATCGGCCAATCTCTCACGGCAACAATCTTTTCGGGATCCGTAGTAACGCCTTCTTTCGAAATAATATGTCCCAAATATTTTATATTTCTTTGAAAGAAAACACATTTCTCAGGATTCATTTTTAAATTAGCTTCCTTCAATCGCGAGAATACCAAATTTAAATTCTCCAACATTTCATCGAAAGTTTTTCCGAAAATAATTATGTCATCCAGATATACTAAACATTTTTCCGATAAGAGACCGTGTAAAACCTTTTCTATTAATCGTTCAAAAGTCGCGGGAGCATTACATAGACCAAACGGCATTACAGTAAATTGCCAAAGACCCCTGCCGATAGAGAAGGCCGTTTTTTCCCTGTCCTCGGGACGGATTTTAAGTTGCCAATAACCGCTCTTTAAATCTAATGAGGAAAACCAAGAGTTACCTGAGAGCTGGTCTAAAATATCGTCAATTCTAGGAAGAGGATATGAATCCTTTACCGTCACATCGTTTAACTTCCGATAGTCGACGCAAAATCTTATACCGCCGTCCTTCTTTTTTACCATAACGGCTGGAGAAATCCATG